CAGGATTATCACTGACTCTCATGAGTTTCTTCAGTATGAAATGTTCTCAAGCATTTATGCCTGAGAAAATTCAGGCAAGCATTAACAGAATGTGGAATTAGCATGCAGTAGCTTTCTAAGAACAGGGCTGGTCCTCAAATGAATATGAGTAGGAAGCCAAGTATTTCCATCCTCAAAGGCTTTCTTCACTTAATCCTGGATTATAAAATTGTTGAATATATGGGACAATGCTAGTAGTGGTGTAATACCATGTCTGTCTACTGGTGACAGAGTAACAAAGACTGACAGATATGCAAAAATATGCACCTATGCTCGTGAAATCGGCAATTTCAGCTTTGACTTTTTTTTTTTTTCTTTAATGAGTTCAAACCTTGGGCAACATGGGTTATGGAGAAGGGAGAGTGGGGAAAAATAGGATGCCTCTTGTCCACAACTGAGACTAATGCTATCCCATCACATGATGCATGGACAGAATCTTATTGGTTACAAACCAGAAACTTCTCCCACTTAGGCTGCAACTTTCCCAACAACAACAAAGATGGTGGGTGCCACTCACCTGGATATGGGTCCAACTCTCCCAGCTCTGCCTTTCAACGCTGTTTCCTTGGTCCATCCCTGAAGAGATCTCAAGATATCTCCAGGCAAATAGTCTATTCCAGGCCCTGTCCTAGCAATATGTTGGTTTTTTTGTTTGTTTTTCTGGTGTCCATTCTTCTGACTCTTACCCCTTTTTGTTTGGAAATCTTCTCTGATGCTGTTCAAGTTACCTGTAGCCTCAGTCTAAAATTTAGACCATTCCTGGGTATTTAAGGCAGTGGAAAACTTCGACGAGACAAAAAGACCTAGTCAAATTTGTCAGGAGAGCAAATGAACAGGGTGTTGCCCCTACCTGTAGTTATCATTTATGACTTGTAACAGAAACCCCTGCCCTGGACAGCTGTCCGCTTGATTCTATCTCCATCAGCTTCTTCGGGATGCTTACACCAGAGGCCAACCAGAAACCTGGTTTTCCCCTCTGGCCAGCTAGATCAAGCTGGGACAGCATCTGCAGAGGCTGTTTGAGCTGAAACTGCAGAAAATGGAATAAAGGCATAATTGTCAACCAAATAAGCCAGAAGGTAGCTTTCACTGCAAAGGAGGGGAGAGGGAAGTGAGTAGATAGAGCAGTAATACATGAATCTCAGGAACTGTAGGACAGCAGTGGAGGACTATCCAAACAAGCTCATCTGCACAAGCTAAACAACATCCTCACTGCAAAGTGGGCAGACTGGAGGCCATTCTAGAGCGAGACCCAGGTTTGACTATAACCCCCAGTTGTGACAGTGAGACCAGATCCAGAGTCTGAGGCTTTCTGAGCAAAGGCTAAAATAGCAGAGTCAGTCTATACTGCAAATGTACCCCTGGTCTCCATGTGTCAGTAGCAACTCACTAATCTTACTTTATCATTCACACACACAAAAATACAGTTGTCTCTTTCTCCCCTTAGCTCTCAAAGAGGTAAGATAAATCCACTTATTACTAGAATTGACTTTTCTGCAAATTTTAGTATGTTTGCTAATCTGTTACTGCCATAAATGGAATTCAGTTTTCATTATTTATTTAAAGACTGTATAAACAATGTGCATTCTGTTAATTTTTTTTTGTCAATTCAAAGAAAATTCCATAATGGATCTATGGGACCTTTATTCACGAGAGACTTTCTATCCAAGATGTACATAATAAGCCAGATCCTTGGCTAAGGGTGAGGTACATAAAGCATAAGCTGTGTGTATGGCTTAAAGCCATCTGTTCCTTGGAGCCTGCTGTAGCTTCTAATCCATGGCTAGCACTCTCGTGCCAAGGGAGAACCAGGGTGAAACTCAACCTTCAATGAAATTGATGGGCATTTTGCGGTTGATTTCAACAGGGTCATGATTTCACCTTTGGATGGGAACCTGCTGTCATCCAAGTCATTGGAAACTGGCCCAGTGGTACAGGATTGAGCTCTTAGTCCCCTCCCAGGTAAAGCTTTCTATTCAGCACTTTAGATAAGCAAAAACATTAGTCAATACCTCTGAAAAATCAGCCCTTGGGCCTGTTCTACATCATGCCTTGTTTGGAAAAGGAGGCTACCACAGACCATCCAAAATAATGCCCTGAGCGTAAATTTGAACAGTACTATCTTGCATCCCCGTGCAGCATACAGCTGAGCACATGGTTAACTTGACGCATGTGTAATAAACATACATGTAGGATGTTTTCCAACATGCTATCATAACTCATGGCTTGATACTGTACACAGAAGGCACGTCTACATGTGTGATTAATGAACACGAATAAACTCCGTAGATTATTGTTCTGGAATTTTTTGGTCCCAGACATACCATTTGAATGTGCATCTGGAAGCAAAAAACCCCAGAGCATATTGCTCCAGAGTTTATTCATGTGCAGCCCTTGGAGCCCACTCAGAGCAGCCTGGGCCAGCTGACCCAAGGGGTCAGCCTGCCAACCTAGAGCTGCTCCGATGGGGCTCCACATACTGTGGAGGAGCTAGCTAAGGAACAAGAGTGCCTTGCTGTGGGGCTAGCCAACAGGCACCCCCTGTGCTGAAGTGCCCTCATGCCTCAGCCAGCTGATCTGCAGCACGTGGAACCAAGTCGGACCAGCCTGGGGCTGACAGAATGATCCCCAGGTCCTCTGCCAGCCCGGACTGCTCCAATCATGCTCCACATGGTGCGGAGGGGCTGGCTGGGGAACGAGGATACTTCAGTGTAGGGGCTGCCTGCTGGTTAGCCTGGCACTGAAGCACCCCTATGCCCCAGCCACCCCTGTCATTGTCTACACATCCACTGTGGTGCACGAAACAATGCCACCACAGAGTAGTACTTGCATCTAACCCGACTACCCTGCAGCAGCATTTATTAGTCTGCTATAACCTAATAGAGCCACACATCTAGACAGTGACACTTTACTGTGGAGCCAATTAAATGGCTCCGCAGAAAATGTCTCATGCAGAAACACCTAGAGACCCCTACAGCTGCTGGGCAATAAATGCTTCTAGATCTCCTAGCCCCAGAGCAGGTTTAAAACAAAGGTTATTCTGAGTTGATTCAGACAAGAAAGATGGGTACAAGAGGCCATGCCTCTATTTTTTTTTCACTTTTTTGACAGAGGGATGACAACCAAAGTGAAACAATGGGTGCAGACAGAAGTGCAGCTTCCAGTTGTAACTTGGAACACTTTCGGCAAAGCTTTCTGATTTACAAGGTTATCCCACACCTAACAGAAATTCACTGTTGGTGCCAGGCAGGGCTCTCTGATTTCAGAATGGGAGGGAGGAAAGACAGTGAAGGGAACTCATTCTTGGGGCTCCAAGAATGACACAAGTTACAGAATAACACAAGTTACAGAAGATGCTATATTTTGTTTAAACACCTTCATCTGATACTTCATGCAATGGTCAGATTTTCATCCGATTGGTCACTTTTAAGCTGACTGCAGCTGTGCATTTGTGTTTAGTCATGGCTATAAACTGCTTTCCGTGGCCAGATCAAGCAAAAATTGTCACTTATCCAGTGCTCCCAGACTGGGAGGAGCTGCTACAGGAGAATAAACCACTACAGCAGAGTACATGAAGTACTCCCCTTTTCCCCACTCCTTCAAAGAAGACAGAATGCAAGGATCCCCAGACAGAGCCAGCCACCACTGCTTTTCCTGAGCTGTATGCCTGCATCAGTAAGATGCAAATTGGCACCAATGAGGGTAGCATATTTTGGCTTGCTGACTTCTCAGCACTTGACAAGATGAGACTGGACTAAAGCAACAAAATACGATGTCAAGAGTGAATTCATTGAGATTCAAAAACCAAACAGTCTCTTTGTACGCTACATCCTAGTTGGCGAAAGCATGATGCATACATCTTTCTAAGAGCTTCACTTACTTTTGATGTGCATGATAGCTTGTTCTGCTTACTATGAGGCTCAATTTGTGGTACGCAGGTGCTGCCTCCAGAAAGGGGGTGGTGAAGAGCTAAGTGTTGCAATACGAACAGCACTAAGGGAAAAATCTCTCCTGGAGTTACACCAGGTGCGCCATGGTTTGGAGAGGGGGCCATTTGGTTCCCATATTTGTTAGTAATTTGCTCCCAAGAGAGTATAAGGAAATGGTAAGCCCTGGTCCCCTCAGACTGCAGCAACAGATTGTCTCTAGCTCACATGTGGACTGCACAAGAGAGGTGAAGCACTCCCTGTACAACCTCCCTATGTGCACATACCCATACTTGGGCAGTGGATAGTTTAGCTCATAGAATTAAATGAGACCTAAGGAATGGTGTGGAGAGGTTGTGGCTGTCACTTTCAACCCTAAACACTGAGTTAGGGCATGAAAAACTAAACACTCTTTTCCTGTTTGTTTTTTGGGGTTTTTTAGGGTGTTTTTTTTCCCTCTTTGCTGAAATATCCTTGGAATATCCCTTTACTTCTCCAGTCAGTTTACACCTGACAGCAAAAATACATTTCCATTGCTTGCATATCTTAATAGGTTTCTGGCATGCCCTAGATTTACAGCAGAACTATACTGGATTCCTGTCGTGTGTGTGTGGGAAAGAGAATATATGGGAAATTCATGACCTCCTAATTGCTCTGAGAAGTTGCACCCTAATGGGATGTCCTGATAATTTAGACTATTCAACTGCCTGTGACAACGGTTAATTTATGCCTGGTACAAGTAAGAATTTGTTCTTAAGAGTGTAGTTAATTCCAAACATGAGTTGTTCTACTGATGGAGCACAGTGCCGTTACCACAATGCTGCTCAAGATCCTGGTGTAGACAAGGTCTTAGTTTCTAATCGACCATATGAGTGGTATGGGGAACTGGTCATAACCTCAGATACACCAATATCTGAGAGAAATGTCAATACCAACAGTCCATTCTAGGCTGAAATACAAGATGTTTCAGGTTTTATAGAGGTTTTGCTTTCAGCCCAGGTAATGTATTCCCCTAACTCAAAAAGTACCTCATACCTTCTTTCATTGTCATCAAGATGAGCAAAGAGTACGTTCTTGGAGATGGCCTTGGCCAAAGCAGTCATTGTTTTATAGTCCTTTGGAATAACCTAGGAGTGAAAAGAAGAAACAAAGTAAGTTATAGCTCTGGCTTTGTTTCATTGTTGGGTTTTTCTGTTTAAAAGGCTGCATTAATCAGTGATGTAGGCAGTGTTTTGGTTTGTTGTTGTGCGTTTTGTTTTTTTTTTTAAATGCTGAGTCAAATTTTAGAATTTCATATAAAACCACCAAGAAAAGAAGACACTTCTATTTTGACAATGTGGGGATAAGAATAAACATTCCTCATATAAAAAAACACAATAGAAATACAGGGGAGGAAAAAACATTTAAATGTCCTTATAAAATACAGGGGGAAAAATCAGCAGGAACAAAAAACTGAAGGCTTCCTTCACATTTCATTTATTTTTAATAGATTGAAGAAAATACTTTCCATAGTGCTCTACAGAGTAGCATCCAAACTAATCTGTCTTTAAAATTATGAATCAATGCACTCTTTCAGCTTCAAAAATTAAAGACCAATCTATTTTTTTATTACTATAGGAATGTCCTGATAATAGGCAAAATCTGATGAAGGAAAGAATTCCTACTTTATTTTCAATAGTGTATATACGTTCATATCTAGGATTTTTTACATAATTTTGTATGCAAAAAACAACCATTTCCACAAACAGTAAAATTAAGTAAAAGAAATTTAAGGCAAAGGGTAGTATTTTAGAGAATTTTGAAATAAAAGCACAAAGGGAAGAACTACCTACACTTCTGCAGAAATTGCACAAGACAAAAAGCTGATCTCGATTTGATATTAAAGTCTGAAGTATGAGAAGTAAAGCACCTTGCAATATTTTGTAGTGTCTTCATAACAGAATGGTCCTTGTGATATAAGAGGGGAAGGCAGAGACTCTCTGCCCAAGAAAGAGCCACAGCCACTCGGGAGGGAATGGACACAGCTGAGAGGAAGAAGTCTATATAAAAGGCCATTTCAGAAGTAGCAGGGGTTAAATATGTGAGAAGGGGAGAGAGAGTCCCCTAAAGTTCCTGTTGCTTCCCCCACACCAAAAAAGAGCTGGGTATCTATTTGTTTAGTTCTAAATCTCTGATCCTCCCAAGAGGGCTAAGGAGACTAAAAAAATAAATAAATAAATAAAAGTGCCCAGTGAATCAGAGAATAAATCTTAGCTGGGGAGGGGTCTTTACATTTTGGCAGAGGGAAGACATTCTCTTGCTGTGTTAAAGGGTTGTTTCCTGTCATCTGTCTCCCTGTGGCAAAGGAGGGGTCCTGACTTGTCCAGGTGGCCCTACTGCCCATCCAGGAACAGAAAGGCTGTCTGTCTCAAGTGGATGAACAGCGGCATGGGCATACCCAACTGCTGAGTGTCAAATGAAGAACTGACCTAGAACTGTCATACAATTCAGCCCTTGAACCTCCAACAAGCAGACAGTATCTTCACAAACGCAATGTATTTTGAAAGCATGCAGTTCTGATTTGACTTTCTATATACATAGAATCACAGAAGAATTGGGCTAGAAGGGATCTCAGGAGGTCACCTAGTCTAATCCCTGGTTGGAGGCAGGATCATCCCTGTCTACACCACCCCAGGCAAATGTTTATCTAACCTGGACTTAAAAACCTCCAACCTCCTTTTAATAAGCAATATGTTCAGAGCTTAACCACCCACACACCAAGAGTTTTGTCTATTATCCAAACAAAACCTTCCTGGTTACAATTTAAGCCCATTATTGTTGTCCTGTTCCTTAAATACAAAGACAACAGTTGAGCACCATCCTCTTTATTACAAACCTATTTTGTATTTGTATTTAGCCTCCAAGTGCCACTCTAACATGAAAGCGGCAAGGCAGAGCCTCAAACGTGGGATGAGCAGGCTTATGTACAATAGAGACAAAAAGAAAATGGAAAAAAGGTCCTCAAAGCTTTGCTGGTAGCCAGAGAAAAAGAGGTTGGTTGTGACAGGGAGAACTGTATCACTGCCTCTTTCAAGAAAACACTTTTTGATTTCCACCTAGTGAACTGAGTCACCTGCATCATGAGATTCCTGCACAGTCAGTTAGTGATGAAATCTCAGGGAATAGCTTTTTCTTTCTTTCTTTATAGAAATAAAGCAACACAATAACACTTCATCTGAATCTTTCTTTGTGTGGCACCATAGCCATGTGTTTACAAGGAAAAACTGCAAAACATAAACCTTTCTACACTAATTTTCTCCCATGCTCGCTAAGTCCTTGATTTCAGGCTCTTGAGTTTATCTTTCTTGGCCTCTGTCTTAAAACCTGAGTTCCCAACAGTCTAAGGCCAATATTGGTCTTGCTTTAAAAATATTTGTCTTCTCAGTTTCTCCTGTTATTCCCTCGGTGTAGGTGGTTCTTCCAAATAAACCTCTGTGATATCAAGGCAGTCATTTGCTGATAACAGAAGGGGGGGGGGGGAAAGCAGTCAAACGCAGCTCTTAAGGCTAGTACTCTATTCCTTTGCATTCCTAACAAGTTAGCAGTCTAAGAAAATATCCCTTGGATTATTATTTAAATCCAATTTCCTTTTAAGAAATTAAAATCATAGTAGCACTAGTCATAGAACGCACAGAAAATGATCTGTGCTGCTGCTGCTTCTGGCTTTGAACCAGTTACTGCCTACCAAGCCCCATTGCCAAGGCCGTACTGACATCATGGCTGATGGAAAGAAGCAAACAAAGTTATTAATTTCAGGTTCCATTAGGAAGATAAGAAAATAACCCAAAGGAATATGGAGGAACATTTCCATTGGGGGGTTTTTTGGTTGTTTTTGTTTTGTTCTGGGTTTTTTTTTTTGTTCCCCCCACCCTCCAGGAGAGTTTGGCTGGGCCCATAATGAGCAAAGATAAATGCTGTCTTCTCTTAAAAGTTTCTAAAGGGGATATTAAGAAGTGTAGAAAGAGGAAAATTAAGTAGTTTGAAGTGCCTTTTAAACTACCATATAAATGATTTTTAAACAGTGCAATGCATTAATAGTTTGACTATCCTGCTTTTAGAGCGTGCTGGATAGTTGCCAGTACTATCTGACTTAGACTGGGAGAGTGCTCCTCCCTGATTGGCTTTAGGCAGAAAGTTCCCCCAGGTGTCTGCTTCTCAGGAGGGAAGACTCAGCAGTAATCAGGGAGCTTATTCATAAGCAAATGACAAAGATCATATATGATCTTAAGGGGGAGGGGAGAAAGAGCCCTGCCAGAAGTAACGATTGACAAAACGCATTTGCATGACATTAAATCATCTCTTTTGGAAGCTATTTTGATACTGAAGCAGGAGCTCTTACAGTCCCCCTGCTGCTGAGGGTATTTGTTAGCCTACAGTTAGTAAAGAAAGAAAATGCTTCAGTGAGACAACTGGGTTTGGAGCATGTACAAAAATGGACTGTCCCAAGCACTGGCATTAACCAAGGGGTCTCGTGTAAACTGGCATTCCAGGGGCGAGCCAGCAAGGGCACCAGGCAGATGGAAACATCCTCTAGGGATACCCTTGCAGGATGGAAGACTTGCATTTGGTTGTTAATCAGTTTAAATCCAGAGACTGGAAAACGTCACCACTGCAGAGTTGAGGCTGCCCTGTGGTATCTCCTGCCCTCCTGGAATTCAAAGTTCAGCAAAACTCAGACTCCAGAAGAGATGGTGTGAAGGCACTGATCACACAACATTAACTGTGCCCCCAATGAATCTGGCACAAGAATGATCTGCATGCCCTCCAGCTGCCTTCACTGTTAGGTGTAACAGTATTCTGCAGGCAGAGAAATTAGCTGGAGCTGCTTGCAGGAGAGATTAGCTAGAGCTGCTTGGCAGTTGTGATTATATGATCCCAACTTCCCACTTGCTTCTCTATGGACTTTCAAACAACACCCAATCTCAAACTCTCTATTGTTCAACATGCACCAAATGGAACAAGACCCTGCCTAAATAACAGATGCAAAACCTGCCAACATGTCTACTGGCACCATAATCAATACACACTCTAGCAAAACCAAAATCCTTTTATAAAGAAATCACTGTCATTTTTATAAAATGGAGTTAAACAAAAGCCATTGCTCTAACCGTATTTAGTCTAGGCTGTATCCACTTCTTTTCCAGATTTGAAGGGTATTTTGTGCTCAAAAACTGGACCTCTACTAGCATGGATGTATCCAGGACTTACCAAAGGGGGGTGCGACACAGCTCCTCGGACCCTGGGGGATACAAGTGAGGCATGGTTGGAGCTCCCAGATCCACATTAGACACTAGGGAGCTGGCCAGGGAGCAGGTGCACAAAAGGGGGGATCCACCCTCTGCTGACACTGCTACTGCTGTCCCCAGCTGACCTGGGGGTGGGAGGCACCAGAGTCTCTCCTTGCCCAGCTCCAGCCAGGGGAACTCAGGGAGAGGTGGTGTGGGAAGTCAGGCTTAGCCAGGAACAACATGGATGGCATAAAGTTTTCTCCTTCCAGTCTTTGCTCCCTGCTCTTCCCTTACTGGCTAGGAGAAGGCGCTGGTTGGAGAAATTTGTGCACCCCCAACATTGTCCCCAGCTGGGCTCCCCACACAGCTGCTTCCCCTGGGGGTGGCAGGAGCAGCTTTAGGGTTCCCCCTAATACCTGTATCAGCTCGGGACAGCAGTGACAGCATTAGAAGGGGGGGTGCATCTGCACCAATGCATCCCCTGGGTCCACCCCTGTCTACTGGAAAAGGTCCAGCTGGACCTTCACACCTCTACTGTTGGTCCAGTAAGCGATATTACCGAACAAAACTTCTTTGCCATTGTAATATGGGTGAAGGGCTTGTGAAATATAATAGCAGTTCTTTCTGTGGATAAGCATTTGACTGTAAAATGGAGTGCTGGAAGCTTTTCTTCAGTGCGGTTCCAAGACCGAGCACTCAATGAAATTCTGCCCTGTGGAAGTCTTGTTTAATTAATTTGACGTGGCCTATCTGACTAGGTTACTACTTCAGCCCTACATAATCTGAGGTACCTCCACTGGAAATCTCCTCAGTGAACTGATGCATATAGCAGAATTGGTGGGACAATATATATTTGCCTTTCTGTGAAAGCTCTGCAGGACAAGGATCCCTTCATTTCATGAGTCTGTAAATTGATGTGCACAACTATGGCACTCTGATATAGTGGCAGGAAGAGAGCTTAAGAGCATGACAGGGCAAAAGCCTCACACTGTTAATGGCAATGTGCTTGGGATTTTCCAATGAAGTTTAGGTTCATTTAAACTGCTTTGCTGGAAAGAGCCTGTTAAGTTAAATTATGGGTTTCCCCAGGTTGAATGGCTTTTTGTTCCATAGCGAAGTTTTAGAGAGTCCAAGTATTTTACAGCACATTAAAATATAGCCTGCAAATTTCCACAGGAGAGGTAACTTTGCTTTTTTTTTTTTTTTTTTTTTTTTTTAAAGGACCTGATTCTGATCTGAATTACTCCAGAGCAGGTTGAACTCCATGCTGTAGTGGAGTTGTTGTTTTAAGCCAAAAGTTGTCTAACTCTTGTCTACTTTGTAGTTTCTCCTCCTGTTACTGCTGTATATCAGAGGTGTCAAACTCGCTTTGTATCCCAGGCAGGCTGGATTCAAACTGTGTGGCTCCTTGAGGACCAGACCCAGGCCGAGACATGAGAAAGCTGTGGCAGCAGTATCAGCTTCAGCTCAGACCCAGAACACACAGCAGCAGCAGCTCCAGCTTGAACCTGGAATATGCAGTAGCAGTACCAGCCTCTTCCATTTGCCCCATACTGGAGACAGAGCTGCTGTTGCTGAATGCCCCATGCTGTGTGCCACAGTGGCAGCTCTGGCTCCAGCACTACACACATGGCAGGGGCTAGAAACCAGGGAGGTAGGGATGCTGCAGTGTGCACAGGCAAAGCAGCTGGAGAGTGACTGGAAATATGTCAGCCCTCTCTCACCCTCCTAACACTGATTCCTATGTCCACTGAGGCCTGAACACCCCAGATTCCCTAGAAGGGTACTTTCCCCAGCTCCGCTGATAGTCCAATAGGCCAAAAAGAGCAGCTCTATCAACTAAACCCAACCCATGGGCCATATGTTTGACATCCCTGCTGTACATTACAGGTAACTCCCAAAGCGGACTCTAGCAGAGGGTTGTGACATCCAAGGAGACCTCCTCCACTATAACCAGCTTCCTCACTCACCTTTGATTTTTTTCCAAACCTTGTTCATTGGTACCCTTCTAGTTCTTCTCATGTTTACTCTTGACCACTGCTTGATGATTCCTCAGAGGAAGTGGCTATACAAAATGACCCAACCAGTTCAAATTACATTTTCAGAATAAAATGCAAACAAGTCACATCATGAATTGTTTAGAATCAAATAGGTGGCAATAGGTTACCTTTCTAACATAAGAAACAGCATCTTCCTCAGTGTACACCTCAGCGCTGACACCACCCCTTCTACGGCGAGCTTTTACCACTGGGTTTGGAGGAGGTGGAGAAATCTCATCATCATGAGAATCAGACTGGGAATTGGACTTCTGCCGAGCCAGTATTTGTTTGCATTCTTCCTGTAAACAGAAAAGATGACAATGATGCATTCCCCCCATAACTATGCAGCTATTATCAAGAATAAAACTTGATTTGCTCCTCTCTGGTGACTTCCAGCAATCTATCCCTTTCTACACCTGTATGAAGGTATTTTTATTGTGCATGTGTGGGTGCACTGGTGAAGGAAAATTTTAAGTACGAAACGATGAATAGCAAGAAGGCTTAACAGCAGACAGACATAATCTGTAAAATATGCAACAAAGTTCTGCGATACCAGACTCGGCTCTCTCTTACATACTTCTTCAGCAATGCATCTTGGACAACAAGAGATAATAGATTAACTATCATTTCCCCTAACTAATCTATAGACTCTACGAACTGCCAAGTTTAAGATACTCATGGGGTAGCAGGAAGAGGAACTGACTTTGGCCCACCTGTGTCACTTAAAGTGTTTTGAAAAGCCACACATCCATCAGGCTAGCTACACATCTGCAAGAAGCTTTGCTCGTGTTTACGACCATCCGAGTGCAACAAAGACGCCAGCTGACCTTGCTCAAGAGTTTGCAAATCCCGGAAGCTCTACCAGAGGTCAGACCTACTCACTTCAGGTTTACAAGAGCATAAGCAACCCCCTTGAAGTAAATGTAGTTCCATCCATGCAAATGAGTTCTAAACCAGGTCCTGCAGGACAGTGAGAAATGATCGCTAGCTCAGCATCAGCAGGCCAAAAGCGAGGCTGAGCCCTAAATCCCACACTCCCAGAATACAGAACGAGAATAAGAGAAGGGAATCCCTGAGGAGGGAGTGAGGGGGGAAAGGAAAAATAGTATAGAAAACCTACAAGTAGGACAGTCGCGAGAGTTGCATAGCTTTTTATCACGATGTACTGAACTGTTTAGATTCCCTAGAACTGAACTCGACAGAGCTACTTATAAGTCTTCACAGTAGGACCCAGAGACCCAATAAAGTCAGTGTCTCCCACCACAGCAGAGATCAATAACAAACTCCAGCCCCTGCCTTGGCGATTCTTATCTAATTTAAGACATGATTTAACAAGTGTATGTAATGAACGGAGGGAGCGGAGGAGGGAGGATGAGGGTATCAGTGCTAGACATGTGGCTAATTACCATCTTAGCCAGTTGGCTTTATTGACACAGGAAATGAGTTATGGTTAGCTCATTAGTTATGACACCAGAAAAGTGTGCTACGTTTTTTAAAAAATCTGTCCCGTTTTACTGGCACATGCCCACAGTTTTAAAGCTTGTAAGAAAAACAGATGATTAATATATAGTTTTTGCCATTGATGTTTTTGACTGACTGACAAATCCAGCTATGTCACTTCTGGTCTTATTCTATTCACTTTCTCTGCTCTCACTGACAGCACTGCCTTTCTGCAACCAAAAAAACCTTACCCACTGCTCACCCCCTTATCCCATCCCATCCTCCCCCCACCCATGTTGCCAGTGGCTAAGTTAAGTAACAAATTGGTATTTCTCATCCTGAGTAAGTCAAAGTGACATGTCCTACCTTTTTTGTCAAATGTAACCTTTAGGATCCTGTGGCTTAGAAAACCATTCTGGAGACCAGTGGAGTAATATAATGTATAGCCTGACTAAAGGCTTGTTTCTGCAAGCTGCTAAGCTATCCTGTGAAATGCCAAGCTCCTTCTATTATTACTCTTTCTTTATTTATGTATTTATTACTTGGGAATTACCAGAATACCGCAAACTGGAACCCAATTGTGCTCAGTGCTGTACAAAGACAAAATAAAACTGACCTTGCAGGAGTATTCAGCTCATTGTGAAATAAAGAGCTCCATGCTACTAAAACTTCTCACTTTCAGTTCAAAATATTAAGAATGTGAAACATCAAATATATCTAGCCTAGTTTTCCCTGCACTCTTGGAAGTATGAACCCTACAAAAATAGTCTCACCAATTTCCTCCCCGCAATGCAAACTGCAGGTAACTGGCTGCACCCAGCCCCTTAGGTCCAACCATGGACTGACACCAATGTCCAAAACATGCACGTTGATAATTGCAATTAATACTGGCTTACTAGCATCAGACAGATAACTATCTGCAGAATTTCAAGTATCAATTATCCACTGCAGATTTTTAACTCCAGAATTTCTCCCATAGTACAGTACAGTCTGTTCACATAGAACTACTCTCTTATTCAGCCACAACTCAATGCAATTCCTTCAGATGCTTGACTGCAAAAAGCTAAAAACCCATCTGCATTTTAAAATAATATTCTGAATAGTGAACACCTTATTAAGTATAATCAAAAATATGCTACTAAAGCTACAAATACAAAATTACATCATACTATTTTGCACATATAACTCTTTATACAAAGCATAAATAGCTACAGAAAATAGTTTGTAACATACTGATAGTGTACACATACTTTACTTTTTAAACATATACCGTACCACAGGCTTTTGCAGAGAATTAATAATACCTCCTCTGCTCCAGTACAGTTTTATAAAAAGTGAAAAGCTCAAGGAGTAAAATAATATCACAATTCACACACCGCTCAAACCCCTTTTAAAATAAAAATACATTAAAGAATGATAAAAGTAAGTTACCATATGGTTCATTTTATAAAGAAGCCTCTTTGCTACAAACTCTCTTTATACAAACGGCCGACAGTTGACTGGTTTTTCCATATGCTGCTATTTGTACTCTCGATATGATTTCCATTACTGAACTCAGGAGTGCCTTTTGAAAACAAAAGCATACACTGTGTCCTGGGCTGTGCTCTCAAAAAGCCATCTTCCATATATCCTAGGGTAAACACTGCACAAACAGAGGAAATATTTTGGAGGAAGAATAGACTCTCTTAAGATTAGTTCTTCAAACATCATCAGATCTAGCTAGATGCGAATGCTTGTGCAGAACTCACTTTCCAGTAAACACCTCACTATTCTTTTGTTGTCATGACAACAAGCGATCTCACACTCCTCTGGAATGGCACGGGTAACTCACAACCGCAGAGAAACCATATTTCCCGATTCAGTTGACAAGGACACGCTACTGAGAAAACAGGCACGTGGATGAGCCCGTTGCATAATATCTCGTAATATCTGATCAGATCCAATCCCGAGTATATTCTTTTCTCTTTTTATGATCCTAACTGTCCTGGACTCGCGGCGGCTACTCTTGATTTACATTACCACGAAAGAGGACTTGGGCGTAAAATCTCTGCATTCATTACTACAGTAACGACACATCTATACACCCAAAAGTTACAAACCTATGTCGGTATCTTACAACAATGTAGGCTACTGTATACCGAAAGAATCTGATCCTGCTGCTAACAGATCAGTCTGGGACTAATCAATGACCATTAAAATTGAGGTTGTCCTAAGAAGTCTACCCAGTCATTTCAGGGGGAGTGGGACTGTGAACTTGGAGCACTCTACAGGACTCCAAAGGATGGGGAACAAGGGCCAAAAATTAGAAAAAAGAACAAAAAAGGTCATGTTTGCCTGGAATTTAAAAAAAAACAACCCCAGATACAAAGATGTCTGCATGTGACTTTGGTTACAGAACTTGCACTTGGAAAGTTTAGAGTGTGATGCGCAGGAATTTAGCATGCTGACCTCAAAAAGCACTGGGTCGTTTGACCCCAGTACTTTTTCCTGCCATGGCAGGGGGTCGGACTTGATCTGTTCAGGTCCCTTCCAACCCTACAAACTATGAAACTATGAATTTCGTTCCTTAATTAGTGTTTTCATAAGGTTGGAGCCTAAACATTGCAAGCGATGTGGTCACCGGGCTGAACGAGTTTCTAAGTTAGCCCCTTCCTTTCGTACAACAGTTCAAGAGTACGTTTCCTGACCCATATGCTCTCTCTTCTCGGAGCTGGTGTACTTCCAAAGAGAAATTCATCTGCAGCAGTTCCTCCTCCTATCCCCGATTTCCTGCCTTGTTATTGTCTGAGGAAGACAAAGAGCTGGAGCACTTCTCAGGGCTCCAAATCGTTGTACAGCTTTACAGCAACACTGTAGGAAGGCGTAAAAGCAAAGTCAGCCATTAGGTATCACTGAACGGCCTCCACTCAGCTCCTGACAACTTATTCATTGTGTCCTATAATCAAAACCCAGGATGCACTCTCACTGAAATACTGTCTTTTATTTACAAGCTAACTTTTCATAAAAGTCTCCTGTTGAACAACCCTAGAGACGATATTTATTCCACAGAAAAGTTATAGCGTTGTTAATGATGGAGCAGCCTTCCTTATACTGACCATGGGGAATCACTTCTAGGAAAGAGAAAATAATTTAGTTTTCATTACTGTCCACTCATGGCAGGAGACGACGCGGGAATTTATAAAGATTAAAACTGCAAGGATTTATTAGATCAAACCTTGCTTGAAGGGCAGGACTGACTAATTCCCAGCTCACCAAAGTCAATGGGAGATGAGGAGGACTCCCGCTATTACTCCAACTTCACAGAGTTTTTCACATCTCCGCAATCTCCTCAGGGGCGTCCCACTGCCGTCTCCATTGCAACAGGGAGAACCTGAGCTTCTCATCATCCCTTCCAGTCCTTTCATCGTCATCCTGGATGACTCCACCGCCTAACCCATCATACGGGTTTCTAACCTCAGTGTAATCTTAAACTACTGCTCCACCTCTGTCTGTGATGTCAAATGCTGTCCTTCCTTCTTCTATGGTATCTCTAAAATATTTCTTTTAGTATCCATCCTTTCCAACAATGCCCTTATCCATTTCTTAGGTATTTGTTGCTTTGGGTTTTACAACTACCTCTTCCCTGGCCACTTTCCAACTCCTAACTTCCAATCTAGGCAAAAATACTGTTACCAAAAACTTCTTTTTATCTGTGGCTCTGATAACATCACGCTCATTTTTTTTAATTCTTTTACTTGCTTCCTTTTACCTCTTACTATCCCATTAAAATCTCTTGTCTTCTTTCAATGCCTTGCAAAATCTGTCCTTTACCACCTCTGACCTATATTGCATATAATGTACTGTATATATTAATCTAGTA